TTTACTCTCTTTCTGCAGTGGCAGTTTCGCCATTTATTACCATCATGATCTCACAACCTCACACAAGAAAGAAAAGGACTCATGTTCCACCTTTCCTACGAAGATAATTTTCTGCAGCGGCAGCTTCGCCATTTATATAACGGCAATGAAATTAATCATAATCATAATCATAACAAACAAAAAATAATAATACCATGGTCGTAATATTCAATGATATCATGATAATCATAATCATTACAACAAAAACAATAATAATACCATGGTCGTAATATTCAATGATATCGTGATAATCATAATCATTACAACAAAAACAATAATAATACCATGGTCGTAATATTCAATGATATCATGATAATCATTATCATAATCATAACAACAAAACACAATAATAATACCGTGGTCGTAATATTCAACTCCCTTCCTTTAATCCTCTTTCTTTTCCCTACCACCCTCCCGATCGCCACAGCGGACGTAATTGACTCTACGAGCAGGGACAGATCGAGGCGAGGGGCGCGGTCGCCATCGAGAAGCGAATCTTCCCGTGCAGCTTAAAGGTAAAGACCAGTTTTGGAACCCCCCTCTCAAAAAATGAAATGTACACACCAATACTTATATACTAGATGATCAACCTTTTCTGATCCGTTCCACACCTTTTCTTTCACAATGCAATTGCATGACCAAAACTGGTCTTTAACTTTAATGCTTATCATTTATGAAAGTCAAAGTAACAGACTTACCTATCAGCTTCATTGCACAAGTCCTTCACCTTCAATTATCCACCAGTTCTGATTATAATGATGTTTTCCAAAACTGGCAGAAGCTCTTTTATACATGTAATACTCTCGGCCTGGGCCACATCAGCAGCCGACAATTCTTGCACCATACGTTGACACACATCTTATTGGTGACTGTACATTTTGAACAACGCAATCACTGGGAAATTGAGCTGCTAGTCTAAAAAATCAGACCCTTATGGGAGAATTGGTGTTTTGATCATTCTTTGTCATATGCGTCATCCACTGTTAGTATCATACTTTAGGATTGTTTGTCAAGCTATACTCAAGATTGCAGTACTGCAGAAAAAAATGGTCAAGAGTAGAGGAGGAACATATAGGAGAGAGAATGAAGGGGGCAAGGCAATGTTGTTCTTCATTATGATCTTAAAATGAAACTCCTGTAGCTACATTTTGTGGATGAATGCAGACAGTAAACCAAACACAGCGCATTAGATTAATCATATAATACTGAGGAATACGAAGCTATCGGCAAAGGAATCTTTCCTGAAATGAAGCTGCAACAGGAAAATAAGATTGCAGCCTGCAATCCTGTATAGAATCTTAAATGGATGATATTCTGAATCAATGTTCAAGAAGTGAAATGCAGCTTCATGGACTAGATGATGAGTGAGATGATGTTGCAGATATTGCCTTTATGTTTGTTCCTGTTCACGTAAGGAAAATAAATCTAGTAAATCTAGTTGGAAATGCAAGCACTACTTTAAACAAACAGAACTTTGTCATTCCTCGCTCATTTTTCCTGATTGAGGTTTCATATGAAAGGGCAGAAACTCAACTTTCTAGAAATGTGAATTTTTCTTCGAAATTCAGATACCGCCCGCCAAATGTATTTTTGGTTTCCTTCCTTCAAATTGCTCCTAATCACTCATGCCTAAAATATGCATTATCTGAGTAGCATCACATGAAAGAGGAGACCCTAAGCTTTCCAAATATGTATCATTCATTAATTATAGTTGTGATTAAGTTATGATAGAACATCGATACTTCTCGGTTACGTTTTTTCTGGGACGCACTGTATATTATATTTAGGTACTTATAAGTTTACTTTGTTGCTAAGTTATATATATCCTGCAAATGAGTTTTTGTTTAATTATGTTTACGTATAAGCAATCAATATTGAAAACGTTTATTATTCAGTTGTATGTTTTTGTTTGTATTACACATTTGGAGAAATGCGCGTGTAATTGAGTTAAAGTACACTGTTGGACAAAAAGGTAGAATACATGTTTTTCACCCCAGTTTATGGAATAGTTTTAACAATGATTCATTCCTAATAGATCTAAATGAAATTATACATTCTCAGATTTTATTGAATAATACTTTGCGAGTGTTTGTTTTACGTAACTGATAATGCATGTGTGTGCTACTATGGTTATCAACTAGGGGACCTACGACTTTAAGTCATAACTGATAGTAATGATGATTAATGCCTCACAAAGGGGCACTATTATAGCACAGCGACACGGTTTTGATCCTGGGGTCTCACAGTTATGAAGCCATTGCTTTGCCACTGAATCATGACTGTACGCGACGGGGGTTAGCGTAGGGGGCAGCCCCCACAAATAAACAAAAGCAAAGAAAATGTAATCAATTATCAATAATTTATTGCATTCCCCCCTCCCCGGTCCCAAACAGGAAAAATTCTTCTGTACGACCACGCATTATGGTTCAAGGTATGGCCACACAGAGGATTTGTTTATGTTGGAGATCGTGGTCAATATCTGTATAATACCATTTTATAGTAATTGTATTACATTAAAGTTTACTAAATTCAGTTAATTATTTCGTTTTGTTTATGTTGTACACTTGTGCTGCATGTATAGCAATGAAGAAAAGTAGATTACAGACAAATTATGGTGATGATAATGATGACGACGATGATGATATTAAGAATAATAATGATAATTATGATGATAACAATGATAATGCAAATTATTTGTTTTCTTCAGGTAAGGTGGAGGAAATGGAAGAGCACATTGTGGGAGGGTCTTTCATCGTCTTGCCACTTCACATTCCATCTCGCTTCTCTCTCTCTCTCTCTCTCTCTCTCACTCTCTCCGAGTCTTTCTTCTTTTTTTCTCTCTTTTCAAAGAAGCCCCCTCCCCCTCGATTGTGCCCGAAAGCTTCATCACAGTGAATCTTTCAATTAATTCTTGTCAATCAAGAACTTATACCCCATTGCCTTCTGAAACATCGAATATAAAATACAGTGTTTCTTCATTTGTAATATCATGAATACGATTTTATTGGATTTACACGTCTCCATTTTCAAAAATATTCTTTGACAGAGATACATCATTGATACAGAAAGGTAGTTACAATGTTTACAATGAGTTCATCTTACAATGAAATCATTAATTGATGTAGGCCTATATATATATACCATCAGATAGTGTTACTATAACAAACATCAGCATATACCTGAAGGTTGTGATAAATTATTAGTTAAAGTATAAAAGCATATGCAACTTATTTAGATGAATAGATTATGGTATCCTATAATAGGCCCGAGGAGCAACGTACTTATCGAAAGCATGCTTGATAAAATTCACGTGTTGGATGAGGGAGGGGTCCCAAGACATGCATCTGGCTCCTAATGAATTCTAAATTTGGTTACTTAAAAAGAAAATAAAGAAGAAATTGTCTTAAATGTTTATATAAGTTGCAAAAATGTGAAAAATCGCTAAAGTACCAAACATTTAACAAATGTGTTGAACCAGCCCTAGAATCTCACTGAGAAGCAGGCCAATATGGTCCACTGCATATCATAAAAAGATGAATGCAGTGATTACAAAACAGGCAATACACAGGAACAGACTACTAATAATACAAACACGCAGGTTGCGGTGTGGGGTGATAACCCCTAAGCATCTGGATAAAAGACTTGATTTAAAATTAATGAAACATTTATAGAATAAAACTAAATGACCTCAATAATGTGAAAAACTTATGGCTACTGGAAAATATTTCAAAAAAATAGAATTATCAGATCAGTATGGCTTCAAGATACCGTACATGGATTCATGGCGAGAATAAATATTAATGCCTAAGTTGTTTATTACTAATAACAATAATTTAATATTTATATAGCGCAAAATACTGCCGGTTTATTCCATATGAGCTTAACCTGGAAATGCAGAATAATTGTATTTAAAAAAAGACAGATTACAAATAAAACCATGTATATTGAAATACATCAAACTACAGATAATCAGGAACATACACAATATACGAAAAGCATAAGTAGATAGAATTAAGGCAGATTAAATTATTTACATTTAATTCATATGGCCTAAATAACGTATTTAACGTATAACCGCGTTAAAACATTTTCATGAATTTACATTACGGTACATGAATTTAACTTAAAGTCAACATAATGGATTCCACTATATAAAGTTAGTCATGTGTCAAACAAATTATACCTACATGTAAATTAACGACTACGTCATTTTTGTATAATCTAATCAATGTATACAAAATAATCAGTTTCAGCATGTAGCCATGTCGTAGTAGGTCCATGGTTTCAATAAACGAAATTTGGCGTTTGAACAATTTACCACTCACACTGAACGGAATAATTGATATTAATAGATCATGTCTGAAATTAATCAATGCAACTACTTATACTAATGCAAATGTACTGCCACAACAACACCATCAACGAGACAATATAACTACACCATAAACAACTATACACATGTATTACACTACTACTAATATTGACAACTATACTACTACTATTACTGGTGATAAATTGGGTTGTTCGCATAATGCAGACATTAATACTATGATTACAGAAAGTGCAGACAAATCCTAATATCATGTTTCATGCTATGTGAATTAACTTCATAATGTTCTTTAGCATATAATATACAATCACCAGTTGATATTGTATAAAAGAAAATGTTTACTTGGATATTTAACATTCCTATACATGTATACTTAGTCGGTAGTATTTTCTTGCGTTGTAAATACACTCCTGGGCACCGATCTATTGGCTACGTTATTTAAACATTATCTACAGTCAAAATCAACAACTTATATATATTTATCACACAAAACAGTTTCCCTTTTCAAATTAAACCTGTTAACAAATACAAACAAACCTTTTACTAACAAATTCAACAGTTTATACACAAAATATATTGGGTAAAACAAGTATTCAGTGTTATATTTGTGAAAGAAATGCTGACATCATTATTATTTCCTTTTTACAAGGGCCATGAAAGGATACATGCCTAGAAACATTTCCTTTATTTTCTATTTGTAGATACATGTAAGAAAAGCTTACCGTAAACACTCTTTAAAAAAAAAAATCACATTAGAACTATTGCTGAAATTATCGTCCATCTGCAAATCTGAATGATAAAATTGTTTCGGAGTTTACAATCCAAATATTGAGTTGTATCCACGTTCATTAATATCAAGGAGAATACTCTTCATTCAGCATGTATTTTCAAGGATGATGGACTCGATCTTATGGAAATCGATTTGTCTTTTTGTCTTACATTATCATGCACATACAAAATTTAGGCCTGCGAGTAAGCAAACGCGTTACCATGTCCAATACTGTGTATTAGGGAAATATGATACTTAAAACTTCATGATTGCTTGGCCCAGAAAAGAAAGTCGAAGCCCTAATTTTGTACACAACAAGCGTGGTAAATAAAACACTGCCAGTGGCAAAATACAAATTAAAAAAGAATGAGATTTTGCTGACAATGAATATTTTGCCGTCTTACTTATGGGAACATTTTAAATTGTGATATTTTACAACATTTTGACCCTTTCGAAGGTCTTGATATTTTCATCATGGAAATCCCTGAACACCTTTTAAGAGAATTCAAGATCACACTTTCTTCAATGAAAGAAAAAAGAGCCCCCAAAACCGAGGTCAAGAATACACATCCTTGTAATATTTCACGAAGATCTACGTGATTCATTGGATGAATAACTCCATTGCATAACAATTGTCTTTGTAATAGCAAAAATGGGTCATGAATTCATTCAATCGTTTAGCAATTATCTGATACGTATACAATGGTGTTTTATGTAGTTGTCACTTGAGCCGGTATTTCGTCATCCGTCTCAGTGATCAGATCGAGTAGGATGTCATCTGCCAGATAAGTTAAGCCCATTCACTGACGTGAGAGAAGAGAGAGAGAGAGAGAGCGAGAGAGAGAGAGAGAGAGAGAAAAAAAAGAGAGATAGAGAGAGAGAGCGAGAAAAAAAAGAGAGAGAGAAAAATATATATATATAGATATATATAGAGAGAGATAGATATATATATATATATAGAGAGAGAGAGAGAGAGATATATATATATATATAGATAGATAGATAGATAGAGAAAGAAAGAGATATAGAGAGAAAGAGAGAGAGAGAAGTATAAATGCGTGCATCAATAAAAAAGCAGCGCTGCATAAAGAGAGAGCTTGAATACCTTACAGCTTTCCGTCAAAACCATCTTTACCAATATGGTAACTATTTGTAGAAAATGTCATAATACAAAAAAATGCTAATAATTTAAATAAAATAGGCCTACATATAATTTGGTAAAAAACAACTTAAATTTAAAGATAAACTTTAGTACTGGTAATGCGATTGCATTGTGAAAGAAAAGGTGTGGAAAGGATCAGAAACAGTTGATCAGTAGCATGAAAGTATTGGTGTGCATTGCAAGGTTCTGGAGTCATCAAAATCATAATAAATTTGACCGAGTCTTGGTAAAGTAACAAGCACTGTACACAGAAAGCTATATATGGGACAACACACATGGTGTCGGGGCTAGTACTACCTTGATTTCCTTGTCTTTCTATGCTCATTACTCAGCCAGTATACATTTTCTTTCAAAATTGTTTGGCACATGTCATTTATTTGTAATCTTGAACATTCAGTGTAAGTTTCGTTAGATTCTGTGAGAATTAATGTTCTTTTTTTTTACCAGAACTGGCCTTTATCTTTAATATCACTTCGTTTATCCAGTAAAAAAACATTCTACATTTTCCAATGGGCACCGTGGAACATTCATAACCCATTCATGGCTTTTCGAGCAGACCTCGCGGTTGAATGAATATAAAAAACGACTGGCATGAGAAGACAGGCACGCGTGCTAGTCTCCAGCTAATTCTAACACTAGACTTCATTGATGTTGCATAGTCAGCCAGTAAGTCATTAAAGCTAACATATTGCTCCGGTTGTCTCATTTTCGCCAGCACAAACGTAGCTAGTTCGAGTATATAGCAGACGGAAATCGTCGGATCAGACGACACTTGATAGTGATTTTGTATGTGAGATTGCTTTGCTAAATATAAAGTACAAGAATCTTTTCCATATCTTTACACTATCATTGATATCTGATAATTAAACAGTTAGTAAAATAAACATACCAAACTACATAATACAATCAAATACATGACTGAAAGTTGGAGAGTTTGATAAGGTGCACAATTCCACCCCTCTGTTAATAATCGAATAGTTCACGGTGTTCATGAATATTCATGTTTTTGCTTACCTCGGCCAAATGCTTGCCTATATTAAATGGAAAAATTACGGTGAGGGATTGGATGAAATGGACATAATGAACAAATCAGAACCGATCTATGATAGTTCATGCTTCTTATCCTTCATGTGCTTGACTTATAACCTTTAATCGCGTGGTAAATTGAGTCCAAAGTTCGACTTGTTGTACATGTGTTATATAGGCAATGGCGAGCTTGCGACCTATTTTGATCAAATTACGGTGGGTGAACTTTCAAAAGTCAATGGGACATGAGGGTTCCAAAGGAAGAGCTAGTGATAACGTACGTCAGGGTGGATGTGCTTTTCGTTTAAACAAAAAAATGAATTTGTAACGATTTGTTTTTGTAAAAGTCCATAGGCTAACTTACATGCTAGACTGCTAGACTCTGCCGATAGAGGGCGTTGTCAAATGAGACTAAACGGAGCTATATAATAATAATAATAATACATTATATTTCTAGAGCGCTTAATTATTACAATGTTTCTAAGCGCTCTGGTATGGGCATATATGTCGAGAGAACATTGCTATAATTCATTCTGGATTGTTAATTCTGCAGTTTAGCTTGATTGTTTGAACCAGTAACATAAAAATAACCTAAAAAAACTTGCTGAAAATCATCTTCAATAAAAACCACAACCCTCCATTGCACATACCGGTAGTGACATGTGTTAAGCACATGGTTTCGGGCCTACCTATACCTAACTTGATTTCCTTATCTTGTTTTGCTCATTATCAAGCCCCTGTACATTTTGTCTACCCAAAATCGTTTGGCAGATGTCATTTATTTGGAATCTTGAACATTCAGTTTAAGTTTTGTTGGATTCTGTGAGAGTATATTTTCTATCATTACCAAAACTCAAGCTTATCTGTTTAATCGAAAAAGAGAAAGGCGGCTTTTTTTATTGCATCCCGGCCCTCCCTGAAGGAAAAAGTACATGTGATCGTACGTACGATACACGAGCACTGATTATGCAACCATCCTTAAACGTCATGCAGCGATGCAATGTCTTGAAGTAAACGTTTTAAGGACTTACCCAAGGCCACGTGGTTCGCCATGCTGCACCTCCACCTTAATGACCTGATCTTCATTACAAGCAATGATGACATCATCCACTCTCTCATCTGTCCGGCATCTTATGAATCTACCAGTATCAAGATCGACGGTACACGGTATTAACGACTTTAAGTGATTGGGGATGGGGGCATGTCATCGGAGTTAACAATAATGTTTGGTATATAACTGGTAATAATGATGTAACTTTTTCTCTTATTTATTTTATCATGTAGACCCCTCAATTAATAGAACGTGCAGCTGTCATGCATATGGTACAGATGAGCAGAGCTATTCATACTTAGTATTTAGGCCTACTCATGTTGTTATTTATGTTTTGTTATCTGTTTTAAGTTCAAATCGATTCTAATCATATCAAGTCAAACACTGAGAGAGAGAGAGAGAGAGAGAGAGATAGAGAAAGGGAGAAACACAATATATTCAATTCAAAGAAACATAAACATTTTCTTCCATTTCTAGATGGGAAGGGGAGAATTAAAAAGAAAAAATGTCAAAGTGCTCTTTTAAAAAAAAAACACTTTGTCTAACCTGATAGTCTTCAGATGTTTGAGGTTGTGAGGTATTCTGAAAGCTAGTAAGATTCGTTCCATGTAAATGTTACCAATGGCAAGATCGCTAAATGTCACCTTGACTAGCTGAGGGGAGATATTCAGAAGGGCATTGGGTATTAAAGGGGGCTCCTTTATGAAACCAGAATGTTGATCTCCATACACCTCTTTTAGAATGGTGAGTTCTGTTGCTCCTGGGAGATGGATCCTCCGGATGACGTCATATGTGATCGTGCTCCGTACCTGTATAGTGACCTTCTTCACATTGTCAAACATCGAACCATAATCCCGCCATCCTCGTAGTGTCATATTATCCACTGTCAGCTCAGTCAGGGTGGCCAAGCCCGTACTACCACTCTCACCCTCCAGTGAAGAAAGAGCAAGTGCAATGACAAATATATTAGGTACGATTGTTAGTAGATATATGATTGCGTCTTTAAGTTTCATGAAAAAAGCGACAAAATCATGAAAATAGATTATGCTAGCCTCAGGGGTATTGTAAAACATAAACAAGGGTTTTAAATATGGCATGATCCGAGAAAATGCGAGAATTTTAAAGGCTTATGTAACTGCAAGTATAAATTGCATGATAAAATAATACATAGTAAGCCTTAATTTCTTTGCTCTTATACATTGTAATTGTACATCATTCATTATTTTGCAACATAAATATGATAAAAAGTGAAGCATGTAGCTTCAATGAACGAAGACCAGGCTAATTTAGCAATGGTTTAGACTAAACGCCTACTAAATCATTTCAAGTCAGTCAAATGCCTTGATCAGAACTTCATGTTTGTTTAATGCCTTTGATATGCAATAATCAAATATAATGTAGCTGACTTAATGTATTAGAATCTAAAATAGTAACATTAAAAATGATTTTTGTTTAAAGAAAAAAAAATCAGTATTAAGATTAGTACATTTCAAACATTTGGCGATTTATATAATACGAATTACTAATATTACTTGAAATGCGACGTACAGTGGGTCGTTTAAGTATGCACCATGACATCATACTGCAGGATTAACACATATTTCATAATAAACATGTCTACCGGTACTAATATACCACCATGAAATTGATCGTATGAAGTAATATTAGGTGTTATAATGAATAGGCCTATCGTGAGGAAGACGGGCAAAGTGGCCATGTTTGTTAGTTAGATACAAAATCTGTTTTACATCATGGTCCTGAACAGGATAAAAATGTAGTACACGAAAATATAAATAATGAATATCACCAAAGCTCACAAGCAAAGGTAAGAACAGTATAAAACTAACATATAAGAATAATACGCATTTGAAAGTAGTAAAAAGCACGAAACAAAAAACAAAAACGACAATGTAATATTTGAAATTAACAGCGGAAAAAACATCAAATCACTTTAATAAAAGGCATTAAAATATAACCAAAAAAATAGAAGAGGAGAAAAAAAATAAGGAAACTCGTAAAGAGTAACCTAAGGAGGAAAGAGGGAAAGAAAGAAAGAGGGCAGAAGGAAATGGAGAGAGAGAAAGAGACAGAGAGAGAGAAATAAGCCATGTCAAGAGCAGTAAATGAATCGGCATTGTATCACACACGTTTAAAAAATGTGTCCTTGTACATACGTTTAAATACATAGTAGGAACAGTGCATGAACAATTTTTTTTGAAGCGCAACGTCTCTAAGATAACATAGCTGATAACTATTAGGTTGAGATAGAGCACGGCATAAAGTAAGACATTCTGTCGTTATAAAAATAAAAACAAAATACAAAATAAATGTTTAAATCAAAATCATGCCCCTTAACGTATTTAAATAACCTACATACTCCGAAATCGAACTTAGGCTGTGTTTTGATACCATGAACCTTCATATCAAATTTCATTAAAATCCGTCAAACATTACTTAAGTTATGGATCCAAAGCCAGATTCGCATATTAAATGAGCTATGACCTTTGACCTACATACTCAGAAATTGAACTTAGGCTGTGTTTTGATACCATGTACCTTCATATCAAATTTCATTAAAATTCGTCAAACATTACTTAAGTTATGGATCCGAAGCCAGATTCGCATATTTAATGAGCTATGACCTTTGACCTACATACTCCGAAATCAAACTTAGGCTGTGTTTTGATACCGTGAACCTGCTTATCAAATTTCATTAAAATCCGTCAAACTTTACTTAAGTTATGGATCCGAAACCAGATTCGCATATTTAATGAGCTATGACCTTTGACCTACATACTCAGAAATTGGTTTTGATACCATGTACCTTCGTATCAAATTTCATTAAAATTCGTCAAATATTACTCAAGTTAGCGAATGGAAACCAGATTCGCATATTTAATGAGCTATGACTTTTGACCTACATACTCCGAAATCGAACTTAGGCTGTGTTTTTATACCATGAACCTTCATATCAAATTTCATTAAAATCCGTCAAACATTACTAATGTTATCGATCGGAAACCAGGTGTATTTTTCACATATTTAATTAGCTACGACCTTTGACCTAGTACTCCACAATCGAAATTAGCCTGTATTTTGATATCATTACTGAAGTTATCAATCGGAAACCAAATTTGTTACGGACGCACACACGGACGGAAGGACGGACGGTAGCGTTTTTATATCCCCTCCGACTTCGTCGGCGAGGGGATAACTAATTAATAAAGATGATTGTTTGGAAGACAATTGATTTATGAAATGGGATAAATTCGAATCAATCAAGACTTGGTTATCCAGTGGCGGATTAAAGATAATCTAGCTGGAAAATCTGTGTCAAGCAGTATTAAAAAAAACATAAAAATGTCATTAAATTTCTCAGATGACATACTCCAAAATTCCCCAACCAGTAACTAAGATGGCAATGGGAAGGGAAAGATTGCATTTTATCTTACTTTAGTCACAATTCAAATAGCAATCCTTCTATCAGCATGTCCATAGCCCTCCGTGCTACCCTATGGAATGAAAAATATAGTATTTTTTACTATCCATCTTATAGATTTTGTCTGTTTTCGTTTCATGAAAAGAGCCCATTTGTCCCTTCCAAGTTTGAAAAGTAAACTCATTAATTTACTTTGAATTAAAAAAAGCCATCAGTGCAACTCAGGTACAATAAATCATTGTTTGATTTACTTATAGGATGCATGCGCATGAGTTCATTATACGATCTATCCGCACTCGAGTTGGGGCTGTGTGTATCTATCGCACGAAGCCGTTAGGCTGAGTGCGATAGATACACACAGCATCAACGAGGGCGGATAGATCGTATAATAAACGAATGCAAACATGCATCATTTGTTTTATACAACGAAACTCCTAGATCCTTGTTATTTGATAGATCCTTGTTATTTGATGTAAAAACAATGAATTCAGGATTGTTTAATGACAGTATATGCCAGCCCCCCCCCCCACTCAGTGTTATTTAGGGTACGCATATGCTTGTTCCCTCTTTTTGAAAGCACCCCTTATCTGAGGACTGCCAACATTTCCGAACCCCATTTTCGCGGGCTTTTCGCGGCGGGCTTTTCCTGCCTTGGAGACCCCCTAAATCATGAAAAATGCTCAATGTACCCCCTAAATTCGGAATAATTTCCAAAGAGATGAGAGAAAAAAAGAAAAAACATCCCCTTTTTAAAGAAATCTCCGGGTGAAAAGTTAATACACACCTTTTTTTTTTACAATTCTCGGGCCGGACTTTGTCGCACGAAAAGTACCCCTTTTACCGGATATTTTGGTAACACGCATGGGGTCCGTCTGTTCTCGGAGTGGGGGGGGGGGGGGGGGGGGGGGGCGGGAGTATATGGCCGTCAAATAAATCTCAAGTTTTAATAAGTCTCGATTTAGTGCGCACACATATAAGTATAGATATAGCAAGCGCACTTACCTCTACACCCATTTACGCATAGTGCTGCGCAAGAATGGGCCCATGCACACGCAGTATTAAGCGCTCTAACCTCTACGCGCACTACTGCGTGCTCGGAAAACGAGTTCAATAGTACTGGAAAAGTATAAATGACTTTATATACCTCACTTAAGAAATCCAGCCATCTGATTGGTCGAATTGCATTCATAAACTTCAACTGTTCCTGTAAAATTCTCGGTAACCATGCATAAAACTTTTTAATATTTTTAATAACCATGGTTATTAAAAAAAGTTGGTCAGCCTCCATGGTTACCCCATAGGTTTACATGTTAAAAAATGGTTTGAGCGATGGAGGATGCCGTATGTGTGCGAAGGATTGGTCGGTAATTTCAATACAATTGAATCTCGATCGATCTTACCGAAAATTTTATCTTGCATTGTTGACATGAAGACGAAAATAAACTTCCAAAAACAAAAAAACAACATCTGCCGATAGATCTTGATCTAAGTTCGTGCCAATATGCATTGCAAAAGTAAAAGAAGAGTCCGTATATGGAGCTTTTGCGAAGCATTCATCACACGCGAAGCCGGTTTCAATCCATTTTAATGTATATATTGGAGAAAACTGCCAAGCATGTTAACGGCGGGCCATAGCCGAGTGGTCTAAGCGTTGGTTTTCGGTACACCTCTTGTTGTACGCAAGGGTTCGAATCCCGTCTTCGACAAATTGATAAATATTTTTAATTTTTCATTTTTTAGTTTTTTTTTTTTTCGGCATATAAAAGTATTAATGACTGCTTTAATATTCGAGAAATAGTTGTTTTTATACGCTCTCGGGAAGGTTACAATTGGGCTATTCCCCTCGGCAAGCCTCGGGGAATAGCACAATTCTAACCTTCCCTTGAGCGTAATAAAACAACTATTTCTCTCAAAGCAGTCATTAATACTATAATATCAGTACCTTTGCAGATAATGCCATCGGCGGTGATGTTGAGTAGAAGGTATCGTTCATGCAGTCTCCACAACTGAGTGTAAGGTTTTTCAGATAAGGCATCTTGCAGAAGAACTGAGCGAGATCACGTGATGCAGCGGGACGTTCACTGAAATCATCAAGCTGGAAGTCAAGAGTCTCAATCTGTTATGATAATAACATTATATTGAATGATAAATTAATACAAACCAACTTAAAGTATTTTCAATATTAACAAATTTGTTTAAAATTGTACTAACATCTTTGCCACGATGAAAACATCTCAACACATCCGCCTTTATTTTGTAATGATGAACAAGTCTTGACACTGAAAATGAGCACTAATTTCGATAGTAATTCCTGTATCATTTTGAGATTGAAAATGGTGTTGATACATTACTGCTATGTTAAGGTGAACAATATGTTTTGACTGATCGAATTAGGACTGTGGTCAGGGGCGTCGCTAGACCTTTTTCAGTGGGGGGGGGGGGGGGGGTGTAGAGGCCAACGATTACCCACAAAACTAGCCACCAAT